GTCTCCAGACCTTGCCAGATATCTCCTGGGGAGCCTGATTGCCCCAGTGAGAACCACTACCATAGACGCTTTCCTCATTTCCCTTTCCAGTCTGTCACCTCTCCTCACAGAAGTAACCACTAGTATGATTTCTGTCCTCACAGATTAATTTTAATCCTGAATAGTTTTAAACTATTGATTGAACTGTAGGATTTTTAAAATAGTTATTAGGTGGTTACCACAGCGCTGTCTGTTACCTACAGCTGTACTTAATTTTTGATGTCTGGAGGGGGATAGTATCCACAGAGAACACAGAGTGAACTTACAGTTAGAATGAAGCTACCAGTAATAGTATTAGAGCATAAAGAAAACTTCTTGTTTGATAAACCAAAGGGGGTTTTAAAGAAAATGAACAGTGTTAAACAACTTCAGAGGAGTCAGTACTACAGCACCAAAAAAGCATACACTACCAACAAATCACAGATCTGCTAATGATTAAAGCAGGCTCCTAAGGACTTGATAATCAAACTGCTTTTGTTAAAATATTTATTTAGTAAGTCAGTTTTGATTGGCCGTTTCTGCATTTAAATGAACTTACAAGTTCTCATGTTTTCAGGAGGAACTGCCCACCTTGAGTATGATAGTCCATAAAATTCCAATGGAACTTGAATTTCAATCAAAACAAACCAGCCCCTGTAATTAGATGTTTTTGGTTTCCTTTGATACAGAACAGATGTACTGATTTGGAATGGACTTATGAAATGATAGTAAAATTTGTTAAAAAAACCTATAATTTAGGAAAATATTAAAGTTGTTTTTTATTACACGATTGTTAAATAACTTTTTTTTCATTGGTATTTTCTAAGGCAAATTCCTCTTCAGGAAGCTGACCTTCCAGGACAAGGAGAATCATTCCAAGTAGAAGGTAATTCAAGTGAGAATCTAAAATATTATTAAGGGCAGCAAATCTTTGCAAATAAGTAACACAAATTATTCTGATTATTCTTTTTTTTTTTTTAAGTTTTTTAATCTGCTCATCTGGTATTCACTCAAAGCAAATCAGTTTATTTCACACAGAATGATAGAATTTTAAAATGTGTTCATCTGCTGTGCCAAAACTGTCTTCAGAATCCTTGGCTATAACTCTGGCTACTGTGTACACAGCCCTGCTATGTGCCATGTTCTGCATTCAGCATTTTACATACAACCAACTTGGAATATAGGCACAGGCAGTCCCATTTTTTGTAGAAACTCAAAGAAGTAAAGCATCTCACAAGAAGTAGCCCAGCTGATAAGAGCTAGGATTTAAACCCAAAGCGAGACTCCAATGCCATGCCCTTCTTATTCCTTGTAAATTTATGTGTCAGTTTATACATCACTCCCCTCCCCTTGAATCCGGGCTTTGAACCTGTTTACTCCAATTTACCCCCTACTGATAATTTCCATTTCTAACAAGTTCCCTGCTGAGAATCTGTATTTCCACCCCAGATATACTGAATCAGAATCTACATTTTAACAAGATCCCCCAGGTGATTCTTATGTATAATTTCCTGGGAACTTGTTAGAAATGCAGATTCTCAGCAGGGAACTTGATAGAAATGCAAATTCTTGGCAGGAGTTCGAAACAGAATTTTTGAAGCCCTGACTTGAACTAAGCTTTGAAGAAGGGATAGTGTTTGAATAAGCATAACTGGATGAATATCCTCACTTTTCCTAAAGATATGGATTCTGTTTCTCACCTGAAAGGCTTTCCATCTATTCACATCTTGCTCATTTTTCAAAGAACAACTTGGCTCCCACTTTATCGGTCCTACTTTAGGATATAAAGTTCTCTTCTTCTGAATCCTGTGATGCCAGATACATACAAGCTACTCATTTGGAAGTTACTCATTTGGTTTTCTTCATGTAGATAATGTTTAGAATTCCAATGAGATTCTAAGCGTCCTCTATTTTTATTACTCAGAACCTAGTAATGGTATGCCTAAATAAATTAGGTGCTAGATATTTTATTTCAGTTGAATAGTTTGATTTCTTTTCCAGAGGCATATAAAACGTCAAGTTAAAATATTTTTAAAAGGTTATATAAGATTCTTTCACATGTCAGATGAAAGTCATCAGTTGATCATTGCCAAGTAAATAGATGGTAATATTAAGTTCCTCAAATTTTTATTTACTTACAATAAATGTAGGAAAACTACAGATGACTTTTTAGTCACTCAGTTTTTAACATTGAATTCTAAGATTCTTGAAATTAAAATTTCCATAAAGTAAAAAACCTTCATTCTCCTTTATTTTTTAAATTCTCAGAGCAGGTACCTGCTGTTCCTCATGAAAGACTGAGATTTGATTTTGATTCAGGTGAAGATAAGTCTCCTGATAATGGCTTACCTAGAACTGTATCTGTCCGTCGAGGTTTAAAGAGACATTTTAACAATCTGTGTCAGTTCGATACCTTGGGTGACTTTGAAAGCAGTTATTTGCCAGGAGAATCTTTTGAATGGGAAAGAATTAGATTTGCAGACCCACTAATAAGTATAAACCTACCTGAAAATGTAGAAAAAGATGTTTGTCAATGGAACAAGGACCAAATTAACTTATCCCCAAAGCTGACTCACCCAGGAAGCCTTACTATAACAAAAGAAGTCATTTTAGAGTCTAAATCTGAACAAACTAAAACTAAGAATAGAAATGCACGAAGAACAAAAAGAGAAGAAAACAGAAAAGCTAGCAGAAGGAGAAAATCAAAGTCCATAACTAGAAGTAAAGGGAGCAAAAGTGAAAATAAAAAAACTGTTCCCCCACAAAATTTGGATGAGTCGGTCGGTTCCAGTGATGCTTACAATTTTAATTTGGAAGAGGGTGTTCATCTCACTCCTTTCCGACAAAATACAGCAAGCAATGATTCTACGAGAAAAGAAAGCAACAGTGAGTCTGACGTGAGCGTCTGTGAGTCAAGTGATTCAGGAGATGACTCAGATGATTTCTATTTGCCTTCTAAAAACATTTGCAAGAACCTTCAAAATCTCGACATCAAACCAGATAGGAGCCCCATCACCAGGTGTCGATCTAAAATGGCTCCAAAATGTATGGATGAAAAAGAGATGGAGAGTTCCAAGCCATCTGAAACTCCTACCAGTAAGTGATCTACTTGTTTGCCTGCATTTTTAATGTTTATAATAAATGATCTCTCCTGGTGCTTATATACCATATACTGTACTTGCCATCTGTCTCCCAGGGGGCGGTTAGAGACTTACCATCTGTCTGTTTTGGAGGGGAAGTTACAGACTAATAAAATAGTGGGAGTCTGGGGGTGGAAATCACAGTTACATTGTTCTGACCTACTTCAAGCTAATTTAAATCCTCTTAACAAACAAATATTATTTTAGAAAGCATTTTTATTTCCAGTAAGTGAGACCCCCAACGGAGGGCAGAGGACTTTTTTCGTTAAGAGGTAAATGGAATTAAAGTATCTTTTATATACTCATCCAAACCATCCCCATGAAAATGAAATCAAATTTGAATCCAGTGACCTGTGAAATTATAATGGCTTTGCTTTATGTTTGACAGGAACCATGATTTAAAATAATTTTCTAGTTAATGAAGGTGGCCTAATGAGACCAAGAAACTTTTTCCTCAATTGATGGGCTTAGTATTCTTTTGTTCTAAAAACTGTGGCTCAGAAAATCTTGCCACAGAGTTAGATGAAAGTATGCATAGTTCAAATGCTGGTCCTCCGGCCTCTACCTCCTACAAAAATTCTCATCTGGGAATTTTATTTGATATGGTAAAACTGACATATGAAGGCAGATTCTACCATTTTCAAGGTATTGTTATTTCATTGGAGCCTCAGAACTATATGCAGTATGCGTATCATCACGCCTGTTTTGTTGATAAGGAAATGGCACCTAACAGCGACGAGAAAGCCTAAAAAAAAAAGTTAATCGACTTTCCGTAAGTCTGAATCAACTTCACGACAACTAACAGCAACAGCATGCAGATATCATTTTTTAAGTTGGGAAAGTATTTGTTTTTTATAGTATCCTTACTATGTGCTGTGTACCTTCCTCCCAATATAGATGTAGTTACAAAGATGTAGAGTAACTTGAATCCTTATGGGAGGAAGAACACTGGATAACGTTTTAACATACTAGCTTTACTGAAGGGAACTCCTTTCCTCCTAGCTTACAAAGAGGCTAAGATTTAGAATTCTCATTTATTTAATGGAATGAGTTTAGGTGGTTTTATAAGACTATCAGAAGCTTTTGGATTGTAGTTTGGTATTGAAAGAGAGAAGGGCCTTGATGATTCCGAATAGCAAGATGTGACTAAAATAAAATTCCACAATTAGTTTAAACTAATTCATTATTCCAAGCATCATAAAAGGGTTGGTTGGTTGGTTTGTTTTTCAAATTTTAGTAAAGTCTTCTGTTGTGTCAGCCTTTCACACATACAGCAATTAGTATTTCAACATCATAAGGAATGAAAGTAAAAGAAAAATGATGAAAAGGTTTTAAAAAATCTGTATTATAAAATTGTTGTTGTTATGTGCCATTGAGTCAATTTCAACTCATAGTGACCCCATGTGACAGAGTAGAGCTGCTCCATAGGGTTTTCTTGGCTGTAATCTTTATGGGAGCAGATCACCAGTTCTTTCTCCTGCTGAGCCACTTGGTGGGTTTGAACCACCAACTTTTAGGTTAGCAGTGGAGTGCGTAACCATTACACCACCAGGGCTCCTTGTGTTATTAAATACTGGACTATATATGCATTTAGGATTGTATAATTAAGTACAATTTCAGCTCTTGTAACTGTTTTGGAACCATACTCAGTAAAAGTTATTTTTGTAGGTGCACCACTTAAAAATCACCAGTCACCGCATCATAGTCTGAAGGATATCACCAATGTTTCCTTGACTCCTATAATAAGAGTCAGAAAACTTTCTCTTTCTCCAAAAAAGAATAAAGGAAGCCCAGCAGCATCTCTGCCTAAGCGCAGGTGCACTGTCAGTGTGAACTATAAGGAACCCACACTCTCTTCGTAAGTATTTGATTTGTGGGAATTCATTTTTAATGATACATTTGGGGAGGATAAGATCATAGAGCTTTGTTTGGGAATGAGTCTTATTTGAAATACAAAAGTTTGATAAAAATCAAAGTGGAAGTGTTAAGATGGGCATATTTTACAATAACTTAACATTGAAGAGTAAGTTAATGTTGGGATGCTTATAATTATTATACTTATGATCTCTTTTTACCCTTATAGGAAACTAAGAAGAGGGGACCGTTTTACAGATTTGTGTTTCTTGCATTCTCCTGTTTTCAAGCAAAAAAAGGACTCCAGACACAGTTCTAAAAAAAAAAAACATTAACCAAATATAATGAAACTTCCGTTAGATGGTGATGGAAATTAACCCTACACTCCCGTCTGTCGCTTATGAGATAGTATGTAAGGTAGTACACTAGTGGGTTGAAATATTGCCATAGACTATTCTTTTGACAGTACTCTAGATCATGAAAATTTCTTCAAAATTATACTTAAAATTTAATAAATTTAGGTTTATTTTTTTCTTTTAAATATAAATAACTGGACTTAAGCACTATAATAGTTTAGATTTCTTATACTGCCTAAAACCTTTCATTTTAGCCAAAATGTATCTTACTTGGAAATTAATGGTGGTTATTTAAATTAAGATATTTTAATTATAAGCTTTTGGCATCTTTATTTTTCCCTTAAGTAGGGAATACTAGAGTGAATTATTTTTGAAAACAGGTTGAGGATCTTTTGAAATTCCTTATTATAATATTTGAATAAAGTAAATCCTTTACATTGACAGTAGGGTATACCCTAAATTGTTTATGGATCCCTTATACCACTGTTGTATTTAATTTGTCAGATAAAATGTGTGTGAGATTATGATTAGAGAATTTATGGTTGATTAGGCTCAGGAACTAGCTATGTGGCTAGCTCGGAACTCCCAGCTCTAAGTGCATTCAAAGTGTTGCCTCAGCAAAATCACAGACTATGTCATGTACTTCCAGGAAAGTGCCTTATTTAGTAAAAAACCTCAAATGTTAAATGTGCGAATACCAAGGGCTTTTTATATTAGCTTTTTGATGAACCAGTGAGAGGGAATTAGTTCAGTTCACTTTATTTCTATAAACTTCTAAAGAACAGTGAAGTTTTGTATTAAGATTGTGCTTGTGTTTTTCTTTGGTGTTTTAAATACCGAAGAAGGACTGTCTCTCTGGGTGTCTTACTTTCTACTCGCCACTATCCTCATCCTTGGACATTCCTATATCGTTCTCCTCAGTATTCTCTGTAGTCATTGCCATGAAACTCTCAGCGTCCCCTCCGCATTCTCAACCTAACACTTCTTTCTTTCAAACTTTTCATTGTGGAATGTCCAGGTCCATGATCAACAAATTCTAATTTTACTGGGTGACCCTTCAATCCTGACCTCAGTTTTCCTTAACTGCATCTTCATATCTTTCTGCATTCTACCTCACTCACACCCAGAATCCTTTTCATCAGTCAAAATTTTCTGTTTCCTAAATCACTGATTCATATACCCTACTTTCCCATCACAGTCTCTTATTCTTCCATTTTGCTTGTTCAACTACTCCTCTTACACCTGTTTTTTAAATTTATGGAAACTCTAGAGTAGCTGTCTTAATTTAAATTAATTAAAATGAAATAAAATTTGAAATTCAACTCCTCAGTGGCTAGTGGTTACCATATTGGATAGTGCAGATGTAGAACAAAGTTCATTGGACTGCTGCATGCTCTAGATCAGCAGTCAGCAAACTAAAAAGTCTATGGACCAAACCCAGCCTGCTGCCTATGTTTGTATGTCAGCAAGCTAAGAATGGTGTTTTCAGTTTTACATGGTTGAAAAATAATCATATACTTGCAATTGATTTTGATGATAGCAAACACAGGTAATTTTGAACCCCAATAAAGTACCTACATAATAACTCTGATTTTGCTTCTTGGCTTGTAAAGCATAAAATAGTTACTTTCTGGCCCTTCACGGAAAAAGTTTGCCAACTCCTCTGCTAGACCATTGACTAGGTTTACTTTTGCTTTATAGGCTATTCTCTTCTGACACTTTCTGATCAACTTTGATACTCACCTTCCTTTTGTCCTCATTGTCAAGCATTTTCCTAAATTTGGTGTTAATGTTTTTGTATATTAATGTTTATGTATTTCTGCTGTTGTGTCCGTAGACTGTTAAGTATTGCTTTGTATTTTAACATTTTACATCAATGTTGTATTGTACATATAGCAACAGGCTTTTAACTCAACATTGTTTTTGAGATTTGTCCCATGTTGGCTGATGTAGATTATTTTCATCGTTGTATTTTGTTTTGTAAATAAACCAGAATAAATCAGTTATTCTTTTGAGAGACAATTTGTTTCCACTTTTTCATTGTTGCAAATTAGTGCTGCAGTGAACCTTCTGCAACCATGTACCCAGGTGTGTAAGTTTCCATGGAGTTAATATCTAGAAGAGTTGCACAGTTATAGAGTATATTGAAATTTAACTTTACTATGGGTTACCAAATTGCTGTCTGAAAGTGGTTGTACCAATTCTGGCACAAGGAATGTACCATTCTCTTAACAGCAATATAAATCCCAGTCTTCCCACACACTGTCCATCACTTGGTGTTATTGGACACTAAAATGTGCCAAACCAATGAGTATGAAATGTTTCTTGCTTTTCTCCCTTCTGCTGGTGGTGACTCCGGATTCCCCTCCACACCATCTCTGGGTTCCGCGCGCCCTTCTCCGCCCACAGTCCCCCGGAAGCTGCCGCGGGCGCCTGGGGAATGGTGGGGGCGGTGGCGGCTGTGGGCTTGTGCGGTGTGTGAAGGATGCCACTTCTTGCTCTTGCGTTAGCAGGCGGCGGCGGGCCGTGGAGCTTCTCGCTCCCGCAGCGGTGGCGGCTTCCGGAGTCCCACCGCGAAGATGCTCAAAGTCACGGTGCCATCCTGCTCCACCTCGTCCTGCTCCTCGGTCACCGCCAGTGCGGCCCTAGGGTTCGGAAACCCTCATCCCGGATTACTGGATCCATGGCTCCAACAGGGACGCTCAGAGCGATTTCTTCAAGGTGAAGTTGGAGCTGGAACGGGGTGCTACATCCATTGTGTACAGATGCAAACCGAAGAGGACCCAGAAGCCTTATGCTCTCCAAGTGTTAAAACGGTGGACCAAAAAAATTCTAAGAACTGAGATAGGAGTTCTTCGCCTCTCACATCCAAACATTGTAACATTTAAAGAGATATTTGAAGCCCTACAGGAATCAGTCTGGTCCTAGAACTTGTCAAAGGAGGAGAGCTGTTTGACAGGATTGCGAAAAAACGATATTAGCGTGAGCGAGATGCTGCAGATGCTGTTAAACAAATCCTGGAGGCAGTCGCTTACCTACATGAAAATGGGATTGTCCATCGTGATCTTAAATCAGAGAATCTTCCCTATGCAACTCCAGTCCCAGCTGCACCATTGAAAATTGCTGATTTTGGACTCTCTAAAATTTGGAACATCAAGTGCTCATGAAGACAGTATGTGGAATCCCAGAGTACTGCGTTCCCGAAATTCTCAAAGGCTGTGCCTGTGGACCTGGGGTGGACGTGTGGTCTGTAGGAATAATCACCTACATCTTACTTTGTGGATTTGAACCATTATACGATGAAGGAGGAGAAGTTCATGTTCAGGGGAATTCTAAATTGTGAATATTACTTTATCTCCCCCTGGTGGGATGAAGTATCTCTAAATGCCAAGGACTTGGTCAGAAAATTAACTGTTTTGGATCCTAAGAAACGGCTGACTACCTCTCAAGCTCTCCAGCACCCGTGGGTCACAGGAAAAGCAGCCAATTTTGTTCACGTGGATACCGCGCAAAGGAAGCTCCAAGAATTCAATATCCAGCGCAGGCGTAAAGCAGTGAAGGCGGTAGTAGAGTCTTCCCAGTTGGGAAGTGCCAGCTAGCAGTCACAGCAGCATCCAGGAGAGCCACAAGGCCAGCTGAGACCCATCCCCAGTCCAAGATGGCAACCAGGACATCAAAGCTATGCCAGAGGAAGAGAAAGTTCCAGGAGATGGGGCCCAAGTGTCATTTGAGGGCACAGAGGCTGAGCTGATGAAGGAGTAGGCCTTAGGGGAAGTTAAAGATATAGATATAAATGCTGCTGAGGCCACCGAGATGGTGCCGGAAGCACTGGATGATGGCATAAAGGTGGCTGAGCCAGAAATAGAAGAGGGCCTAATAGAGGAAAAGCTGACAACTGTGGTGGAAGCAGCAGACCCTAAAGAAGGGCAAGAAAACCCTGATCTGGAACTTGGAACTCAACAGTATGGTGTGAACCTGCCAGAGTACGAATTCGGCTTCCTTTCATCTGGAAGCCAAAACCTGGCATTTTATGCACTTTGTCCTCCAGCAAGGAAGATGTGGATGCATGATATTCACTATAGTGATTCCGTTTTTGAGGTGCAAAAAAAAAAAAAAAAAAAAAAAAAAAAAACCATGAAATGGATTAATCCTAAAAAAAAAAAAAATAGTTCTCTTTGTTTTAATTACTAATGACACTGTATCTCATTATGAGAATTCAAGTATTTATTGATCATTCTCATTCTAGGAATGGAATATTCTTTGCCCACTTTTCTACTGAATATCTTTTAATAGTATAGGTTATTTTGAGGAGTAGGAATCTAATTTTATTTTTTTCCATGAAGATACCAGTTGTCTCAGCACTATTCACTGATTAACCTATCCTCTGATGAATATTGCTGTCTTTGACATACACCAAGCTTTCCGTTGGTTTATTTGTCTAGCTTTGTTTTGAGTGCTGCATTGTCACAATTTTTTTAATACACAGATAGAACTGATTTGCTAATATTTTCTTTAGGAATTTTTGTGTCTATGGTCATAAGTAAAATTTGCGTATATCTTTTCTCACATACACCTTGTATTTTTGGTATCAAGGTTATACTATACATACCCATTGCCATCAAGTCTATTCCAACTCATAGCGACCCTATAGGACAGAGTAGAACTGCCCCATAGGGTTTCCAAGGAGCAGCTGATGGATTTGAACTGCCAACCTTTTAGTCAGCAGCCATAGCTCTTAACCACCGTGCCACCAGGGCGCCAAGGTTATACTAGCCTCATAAAATAAGTTGAGAATCTTTTCTTTGTTCTATGGCACAAATTGTACTTGCGAAGGTTTGGTAGAACTGGCCATTGAAACCATCTTATTCTGCTGTGCTTGTCTAGGATGTTGTATATATTGTTACCAATTTCATCTGTTTTATCGTTTACTGAAATAAGTGTAATAAAATCTTGCACAATACTAGATTTGTCAGTTTTATTTTCCTAGTGAATCATTTCTTTTATCACTGTGCAAAACAATAATGGTTTTTGTTTTAAAATCTAATATAAATATAGCTAAGGCAGCTTATATATGGATAATATTTACCTATATATTGTTAATATTTGCCTGGCATACCTTTTTTCCATTTCTTTAAACCATCCTGTATTGATATGTTTTACATGTGTCTCTTTAAACAGCATACTACTAGGTTTTGTTTTTCAGTCCAAACTGAACTGCAGTTGATCCTTATTATTCACAGATTCCATATTTATGAATTCACCTACCTCCATGTATTTGTAACCCTAAAATTAACAGGTGCTTTTGCAGACATGCGCAGAGTGGTGAAAAATTTGAGTTGTCAGATGCACACACTCCCAGGTGAGGTGGAACAAGGTGATACTCTGCTTTTTTGCTTCAGCTCTTGTAAACAAATATCATTATTGTGGTCTATTTAGTTCCATGTTTTTCATATTTTTTGCTTTTTTGTTGGTGATTTTGCTGTATAAAATGGTCCCTAAGTATGGTGCTGATGTTTTGTCTGGTGTTCCTAAGTGTAAGAAAGCTGTGATGTGCCTTGCAGAGAAAATGTGTTAGAAATCAGCTTTGTTCAAGCATGAGTTAATAGTCCTTTTGGCCATGAGTTTGATGTTAATGAATCAACTATATATATTAAATGTCTTTAAGTGGAAATACACATAAAACAAGGTGATATACTAACCTTGAAAATGAAAAGTGAAAATGTGACCAGAGGCTTGCAGGAGCCTAACCCTGTATTTCCCCTAGGAGCAATGATTCAGTATTCACTAATTTGGTGTTTGTGGCAACTTTACAGAACATAACTACCATGAATAACAAGAATTTACTATACCGTCTTCTATCTAACAAGTTTGGTCCATTTACATTTATTGTGATACCACTATCGTTTTATTTATTTTTGTCAACTATTTTGTGCTTTCCGTCTTGTTTCTTCTTCACTGTTTAACGCTGGATCGATGGAGTTGTCTTTATTTCTATTTTTTTAAAGCAGTTATCCTTAAATCATTTAACATGTATACTTGACTTTCCAAAGTCCAAGATTCTGAAGTCATTTTGATGAAGGTCAAATTCTTTTTCTAAAAATGAATTTAATTTTGACCTCACTCTTGATTGTCCAGCTGAGTATAGAATTCTAGATTGACAGTTATTTTCTCCAGCATTTAATTTTCTTAAGGCCTTAATTTTTGCTGTTAAATCTTGTCGGTCTGATTGTTCCTTGTGTTTTGTTAAGTTATCCCTAAACATTTTCTATTTTTTACTTATTATAGATATATTTTTAAATTTCATTTTCAGTTGTTTGCTATTAGCTTTATAGAAATGCAACTGTTTTTCACATATTGACCTTTCTACACTCACTTATTAGTTCTAATACCTTTTTTGTAGATTTTTTTTATGCATATGATTTTATAGTCTAGAAAAAAAGGACAGTTAACTTCTTCCTTTCCAGTTCCCATGTCTTTTCTTGCTTTGTTGCACTGTCTAGAACCTCAGCTATAATGTTGAATAGAAGTGATAATATTGAACATCTTGCCTGTTCTCAACCTTGGGAAGAAGCATTTGGTCCTTTAGCATTACTGTGACATTGCCTACATGTTTTCATAGATAACCTTTATCAGATTAAGGAAGTTTCTCTTTATTGGTTGTTTGCTAGGAGGTTTTTTTATTTTTTTATCATGAATGGATGTTTAATTGTGTCAAATGCTTTATCTTCATCTATTGAAATATTTTTTTCTTCTTTATTCTTTAATGTGGTTCATTGCACTAACAGATCTTCTAGTGTTAAACCAACCTTGAACTAATGGAATAAAAGGTACTTTTTTGTATTTATATTTGTATTACATATTTATATATTTATTGATATGCACATTTTGTTAAAGGTCTTCACATCTGTGTTTGTGAGGGCTGTTGTTCTACAGTATTTGTGCATAGCTTCATGAAGTTTAACCCATACATGTACAGACTGGTAGCCAACCAAGGCCCAAGGGAGCCCCTAAGCTGAATTCTGCAGCTCTTTCTCTGCATAGCTCCTTCCTTACTCCTACTCTGCTAGCAAATTCTAGTTTCCATGTCTTCTCCAATCTTCATCTCCTTGACTCAGTAATGACTCTTTGAATTCCCCCTCCTTGTGGCAAAATTCTGAAACTGCCTCAGGAAGAATTTGGTATGGACATAGGGCTCACTCTGTTTATTTTTTTTCTCTCTAGGCTCATAATCCTGCAATTCCAGAAAAAGAGTTCTGATTGTCCAACTTCTGAAAAGAGTTGATTAACATTTTGTTCAGTTTTCTAGTTTATAGCAGAAGGGCAAGGCTATATTGGTTATGCCTTCATAGGCAGAAGTGGAAGTCAGTAATTCATCCTGTTCGGTATTCACTATGATTATAAATATT